ATGGCAGCTGTAATACTTGCGGAGAAGCAGCTGAAAGGCTGTTTATTTGTTTTGGGACCAATTTGACATCTTTTAGCAATGTTTTTTGGCAGTAATTCTGCTTCTTACCTCTCAGAATTCCTTCAGGATTCTGATTTTTCCCCCTCCCCAACACCGATCTGGTATCTTTCTATCATAAGTTTTTTGACTTTGGCCAATATATATGACTTTAAAATCCAGGGATTTCATCTTTCCTTGCCTGTGTTGTGCTACATTTATTAGACATCATTTTAAATTTTTATTACTTTCCCTTTTGAAATATGAACCTTAGAATGGATATGTTCCAGACACATTTTTTAAAGTGAATAATTAGCACAGTTTTACCACAGTATTTGAAGGGTCACACGTGCCTGACGTGGTGCTCGTCCCGTATCAGTGCAGGCAGGTCCGGCTGCATGAAGCTCATCGCACATCCAGCAGTCACGGAGTCCTTACTGCACAAACGCAGCATCCCAGAAACAATTCCAGGTCAGCCTGGGTGTGACAGGCTGTGCAGAGCAGAGGCAGGATTTGTCCCTGAGCTCAGCATTCTTAGCGAACTCAAAAAGCTGCGAAGGCTGAAATGTCTCCCCTGTTGATGTTTCCATGGGTGAGAGCTGTGCTGTTTTCCATGTGTCTGAGCAGCCCTTAGCAGAATGACAATTCATGTTAAGGGCTCAAGGTTTACTTTTCAGAGGTCTGTTAAAGTGTTTACATGGCCTTTATTTTTTAACTTGTTCATGTATGATACAGAGACCAAACCCAGAAGCTCAGATTGTGGTATAACATTAACTCCAGACCTTCCGAACTGGCACAAGCGTCCTTAGGAAGCCACTCCATCCACAGCAGTGAGGTCACGGTGAGTGGGGGCTCCCAGGTGGCTGCTAGCAGCTTTTTTAAGTTGATCCCAGTGGAGGTTTCTCAACCTGAGCAATAGAGAACAGGCACATTTCTCAGAGGCTGTTAAGAGGGTTGTTTTACGAGCCGGACGAAGGCAGGCCCAGCCCAGAGGGACTGCAGGAGGAAGCACTCCGAAATGTCCGCCGGCCCTTTGTTTGCGCAGCTGGACGGCCCAGGGAAAGGCTGAGGGCCGGGGGAAAATGAGATTAATCAAGTAGGCAGCTACCCATGGAAAAAACACCACAACCAGGGTGAGAAAAGCTGCTCCGTGACGAGTTGAAGAGATCATTTCACTGCCTGGATCATCTCCTGTGGAAAATCCCTCAGGGAATTTTGCCTAAAAGTTCAGGGAAGAGGAAATCACTGAGTTTTTCACACCAGGAGATCCCCTGGTGTGAAAGGACACAAGTTAAAGGACACAAGTCCTTTGAATTGCTGCTTCTGTAATGCAGGGTTAAGTTATGCTATCTATTGAACATTTCTTGCAGAAGGAACGCTTGATCCTGCTTTTTAGCCTTTCTCCTCTGGAGATAGGAGAAAGTGGGAAGGCTGAGCATGGAAATCACTTCTGCCCACAGGAAAGTGGAAGTCTAGAAGGAACAATCTCATTAGACCACTGCTCTGCACTCACAAGATGTTCAGCTGCTTTATGACATGTACAGGAAAGTAATGCCAGTATTTACAATGGGTTTCAGCTTATGTGCTAAACTGCATAAACATAGGAAAAAATAGAGCAAAAACTGACTTAAGTGCTGGAAATCACAACTGATCCTTCTGTACCTCACATAGAATACCATTCACCAAGTCTGTATTGGTTCAAAGTCATTGCAAAGGAATACTGCTCATCTTTACAGCTAGGGAGTTTAAATTTTGAAACACTGTTTACAGTTCCAAAATGATGAACAAATAGCTGAAATTTGGAAGGTGCAGAAGCAAATATATTCTTGTTTATAAAGAGGTGGGCAGCATCTAAATACACTGTAATAGAGATGGTATCAATTTAGGAACAAATTTGAAGAAGGAAAAATGGATTTCTGCTTTTGCAGTCAAGGAGCAGAAGTATGGGGCACTTGTGGGACTGAGGAAAATTACCCTTAGGCATTGCTGCCCCTGGGGTGAAATACAGGTGTGCAGAAAAATCCTCACTGCTCCCACTCTGAACATGAGTAATCACATCCTACAGCAAGTTTGGTTTTAGGACTTTACTCTTTCTTCTACTGGGAGACTGACAGACTGTCATTATTTGCAGTGCACAGTCATGTTTTTATGGTTTCCCTCAGAGTGTTCTTGGCATGTTTGATTAGAGGATTTATTCTGTATCACTTAAATATTTGATCAGCATTCAGGTGAGCTAAATATGTAACAAAACTGGGGGTTTAATATTTTTTACATAGTAGGCTTTCCTACATTTTCTAACTCAGGACATTATCTTGAGCCGTTACTAGTTTTTGGTGAGTTGTTTTCTGTCACTAGATATCTAGAGTTAAATATAATTTATTCTGCAATAGCATGGCTGGAATTGCTAGGCAATTCAGTATTATTTCTACAAGAAAAGTTCAACTTTATAGAATGTTACTTCTTTTCATTAGGAAAAGAGGCAAAAGAGACTTTAGAACATAGATTTTGGGGGGGGGGGGGCATTACTTTCATGGTTTCTCTGCTCCTAGGTGGAAATATTAAGAGGCAGGAGGAGAGGAAACAAGCCCCACAGACAAAATAAACTACCCCCAAAATAGCAGGAAAAAATGGTGTACTTGGAATTTAATTATCTTTTATTTCATTTAGGAAAAAACCCCCTTTTTATCAGCATGATTCACCTTCATAATAATTCATTTTCTTTAAAAAACCCACAAATCCCTCCCTTAACACTATTTCTCTAGAAAAAGCCCCAAGCAATTTAAAAGCAGATCTATATATACTGACAGCTATCAACATACTGGTTTACACATGGGAAGCCACTGTCAGATCATTGTAGTGCCCACACACCACATGCCTTTACAGAATACTGTAACCTCACAAACCTTCACTCCTGCCTGTTTTCTCTTTAAACCATCAGGTAGGTCCCTTTTTCTTTTGAAAACGTTCACATACCTTGAGTAGTAGATGGCTGCTATCACCTTGTTTTCTTGTGTTCCTTCCATGTTGTAGTGTTTGAGGTAGGGCTGGAATGGCCTTAACTCAGGTCTCTTAAGCACATTTCTTCTTTTACACATGCAAATAGCCCCAGGTGCTGAACGGGAATGAAATGAAATGTAAGTGGAATGAAACTCTCAGCAGGTACATCTGCAGAGCAAGATTTCCTGTGCAGAATTACAGGCTTAATGCAGACTGAACTTACTTCTCATCTGTCCATGTCTAAAAGTCTTCAGATGTCAAAACAAGTATTTAAAGCTCTCTGAAAAGTATCCAACTCCTACAGTTCCAGGTCGTAGGTTCAGCACCGAGCACTGCTGATCTCCACAGGACTTTATGAGGTCCTGTTGGCAATCTGTACTGAATGCACATACCAAGGGAAGCATTACTTGAGCAAAAAACTTCACATTCTTCATCTGAGCACTGCAAACCTGCAACACTGTGACTGTAATGTTTGCATGACCTCTTATTTAATTGACATGCAGATTGCTTTATTGTGACAGTCTTAAAAAACAAATCTCTATTTCAGTGAGTGGATATCAACTGTAAATAAAGATGGGCCACAGCCATCCCACCCTCATCCTGCTGAAGCCTGCAGAGCATCATCCCAATGTATTCAGGTGTTTTCTGCAGGGTCTGAAGCTGCTGGGTTGGGGTTTTTTCACAAGAGCTGTGCTGCCCAGTTCTTGTTTATCCCGTGCAAGTCAATAGTTCTTTATTTCATGAAAGAATTCATCTACTTCTGTTACTTGGCTTTGAGAAGGAGTCTGTAGCCAGGGAGTGCCTTCCTGTTCTCAAGAGCCCATCTGCCAAAGGAAACACCGACAGGAACATCGAGGCTCCAGAGGAGCTGCTTTGCATCCACACGTGTTTTGAACAAAGTTGTGCAGAGTAACAGTTGGCAACGTTTTAAGGCAGGTTTCTTTCTAAATGATACAACAGAATAGCAAGTTTAAATACAGTATTTATTGCAATTTATCCTTTTCATGTCCTACATACAGGATGTATTAAAAGCATACAAGGTAATGCATTATTTATACAGCAGATATGAAAACTGTATCCCAAAATACTTTCCAGAGTATCTGGAATAAATCACAAAAGAATACTTATCATGGTACAAATGTAGTCATACAATTGACTTACATTTAGTGCACTTTCTGGGATCTTTCTATATGGCTTTTATTGCTGTTTACAGAAATTTTACTAGTTTCTAAAATTATAGTACTAATTAACCCAATCTCAAATCAACAAAATTTATACAGAAGTGTTACAGTCTTTTCAGTCAGATTTGTTATTATCTATGCTAATTTACATTGCTACCGATTTGACTAGAAAGCTCTATATTTTCATGTAACACAATCATATAAATATGGTTCCTCTCCTGTTCTTCAGAGTTAACAAATTTAGACCAGTAGTCCAATGAAATGATGGTCACCCAGTTCACTGCTCTTAAAATACATCATAGGCTTCAGTCCTTATTTGGTTTAGAAAAAATACTATATTTCATGGAACAGTCAAGACAGAATTTACACAGAAAACTTTTACAGTAAAAACTTAAGGCCCTGCTGCAGTCTTGGTAAAGTCTCGAGTAGATTATCATAATTTTGCAAGTCTCAGAATTAAAATAGCTTGTACTATTTTCAGAGGAGATCCTCTATCAAAACAGAATGAACCTCCTTTTGAAGTCTGTGTCAAAACAGCATTTTGATACATATCCTGTCCTCTCCTACCATTCACTGAGCACCTCACAGTTGTCAGGTTCTGTTTTCTGAATTCTGGCCAAAACCAGAAGGATAAAGGATTTTCACTTATTTAATCTTGTTATTCTCTTTTACAACAACATGCATTTCCTTTTATCTAAAAATATCACCTTCATCCATTTACCTTCAGTTTGAAGGTAACTTTTACAAACCCTGGTTCAGAATCACATTCCTGAAATACAGAGGGACTATTTGGGCACAAAAATGCTAAAAGACATTATGTAACAACCTAAAGCTCCATCCCTGGTGAACATTAATATACCAGTTGGGATTAGTTTTTAATGTCTTCCGCTTCCAAAACAGATACTGTCCAAATATTTGCTGTTACCAGCCACTAGATGGAGATACGATTCCACAGGCACAAATCTTATCCCTGACATTGCAGTTGAGTCACTACTCATCATCTTGTGGGTTCAGTATGAGGTCAATATTATTATTTTAAATACAACTTTAGTAAGTGTACTTGATTTGAATAGATAAGGACTGCATTTAAGAACTTGCATTAGCCTGGAGATAAAAGCAATCCCTTTGTGAAGCCCTGTGGCAAGGTGTGTACCTCCCAGGATTGGCTGAATGCAAGAACAATATTGACCATACAGAAAACAAAAGTTGTTCGTTTTCTGTAGTTACTGTAATTAAAAAAAAAAAAAATCCTTCATTCATGTTAACAGAACTACAATAAAATATTCATAATTCAAGTTCACTGAGACTGGGAGATCAAAACAAGATGTAAAGAAATCCCCTACATATTTAAACGAGTTCAGTACTAGATGCAGTCATTCCTGCTGCTACATGAAGCCAAGGATAAGATTTTAAGTGCTTTGGAAAAAAAAATACTCAAACCCCAAAATCCTGATTCAGGATTGCTGTTGCTGTAGGAATTGCAGGGACTGCTGCAGGTTGCAATAGGCAAAATTCTGTTTAATGAAAACTGCTTCCTCTAATGGAAAAGTAAATAAATAAGGTGTCAGGGGTTTTCCAACACAATTACTATTGAATGTACCACCAATGGCCACTCTGTCCCATGACTGAGGAAGTGCAAACCACTGCCTCAGTCCAACAAAGCAAATTGCATTATAATCAGCTCTATCGGTCACTATTTCGAGCAACAAACACAACATTCACCTTCATGTGTGGAGGGAAGAGCCCAGTTGCATCTCTCCCTCCCAGCAAAGAGTGCTGGGTACAAGGGAGCTGCCCCCAGGTGAAGAGAGCCCTCGACTGTGCCAGGTCTCTGACAGGTGTGATCTGCCCTCCCAGTTTGTAGGGGCACATGGGGAGCTTCCACACTAATGCCCTCTGCCAGCATCACTTCAGGTCATACTGACAACACAATAGATTAGAGCTTCATCACACAGACAGAATTATGATACAGTTGAAGAAAACAAAAACTGTACAGCTGTACAACTCCTTCCCTGCAGGCATTTGAAATGACACACTGCACTGGGCAGCTTCTGAAGAAGCAACATTTGCTGCTTCACTTACCCCGCTCCTTCCATATCCCCCTCACAGGCAACGCCAGTAGTAACTTCAGAGACAAAGTTACTAAAAAGCTGCTTTCAGGATAAATTTAGCAAGACTCCATGCTGCTGTTCTTCTCTATGAATTGATAACAATTTATCTAATCAAGCTGCAAAGGCGCAAGGTATCTGCTCCTATTTAGAAAGCACAGTGACTTGACTGCTCAAGATGTGCTGTTCTTTGTGCTGAATTCCAGCACTCTCTTGAACGGGGTGTACGTCCTCACCGGCCTCTGGCTCTCAGGAGATCTGTTCTCAGGACTTGGACTGTTGAGGAGACAAGAAAAACCTTAGAGATTTAATGTCAGAGTATCAGACAGCTGGGCTCAAAATGCCATGGCAATGAACTTGTGCCCTGTTTGGATACCAACAGGCTAAAATTAATTAGTGCATTTGATATGTTCCATATTTCTTTTCTATAATGCCACAAAGAATATTTGATAAAAACTGTGGCACATACTGGCACGTTGACATGCAGGCATTTGCTGGAGCTCATAGTGGAATGTCCAGCAGTAAAGTTACTAGGACTAAGGATCCTACAACAAAAAACACACAGCAATATAGTGTTTAAGAAGACAATTAAATGATCCTGCAACAAAAAAGACAGCAATATTACATTTAAGAAGATAATAAAAGGATTCTGCAACAAAAAAGACAGCAATGTTACATTTAAGAAGATAATTAATTGTGAAAAGTAATCCCATGAAATTTAAACTTTACAGAGGTACATTTTCACAGACATAAACCTTAAAAATAGAAAAAATGTCCGATAAGTAGGGGCTGTGCCTAGATATAGAGAGGCCACAGAGAAGACAACAAAGATAGGTCTTTGTTGACACCCTGAATGAAAACCACTGTTTTAAGGTTTCAAAACACATGCCATTAAATTATGCTTTGGGCCAAACTCTGAAATGAGTACATTTTCAAATTATCAAGGGAATTTTACTTCACTTGCCGATTTCATAACAGCTTGCTGGTTCCATGTGGTGATTTACACTCCTCCAATTAAATGATTCAACTTGCAGGGCAGTTAAGAACAGGTTTACTTGTTGGCACTTCAAGTAACATGCAGTGGTCCTGCTTAGCTTAGTGTTTTGTTTTCTGTTTGGCCCTTCCCTGTGGTGACTTTGGGGTGAAGATTCAAGTGCGAGTCCAGAGCCGTGTTCCCAGGGCTCGGTGCAACCCTGAGCACTGCCCGGGGCAGAGGAAGGGGAGGAGAAGGAAAGGCACAATTCCTGATCTTTCCAAAGCCAGGCTGCAGAGCCACTGGCCACCACAGAGCAGAAACAACATTCTGGTGCAGAAGTGGGAACGTTTGGGTTTACTAATACAGCACCAATAAGGGACATTATGGGGAATTTTCCTACGAGCAAGCCAGAAAAACAAATACCTGTATGGAAGGTCACATTCTACACCAGTATCTCTGGTTTCTATATTGGTCTTTGGTTGGTTTTCCATTAAGTAGTCCAGTTTATCTTGTAATTCTTTATTCTGGAAAACAGTAATTTTCATCCCAAGTTTATTTTATTTAAATTATGTTATGGAAACAAGGAAATAAAATTGCTCATTGCCTTCACCCCACAAGAAATAATGCAAAAGTATTGACTGAAAAAATAAAGGATCCTTAATTCTGGGAAAAAAATATAACTTAAACCAACAATTTTATTCAGACGCTTCTGGTTTAAGTCATTATAATACCATTATAAAATTTTAAGTTAAGAAACTTAGCATGAATATTGAGAATTTATTACATGCATTCCTCATGTGACTGGTGTCATAAGTTTAATTTTCATTTGAAAATACAAATACATATACATCAAATGTAAATGTAAATATATAAATATGCAAGTCAATATGTAAATATGCATGCAGATAACACCGGATGACATTGGTTCAAATTTTATTTGGTTTCATAAAATAATCACAAAAACATAAAAGGTAATGCCTTACCTCACATTCTAAGAAAGAGATTTTTTCTAAAAGCTGTACTATAAATAATTCCTTTTCTTTTACTTTCTTCCTTAGCACTTCAATCTATGAAGAAAAATGAAGCAAAGACATTTACTTTGATTGGGATGTAAAGAGAAGGAGAAAGAACTAAATACCACAGGAATAAAGGCTTAATTTTATTGCTCAGCAAGAACCAAATACCTCTAAATATTCACAAACTGATTTAATTTGTGGATTAGCTATCAAATTCAGTGGACTTTTACTAAAGTGAATCAATTCCTTAGAACAGTTAAACTGAAATAAAGGAAAGCTCAGAATACATTCATTTTTCCTGGCAGTCATTATACTACACTGATATGCAAGAAAGACCACTTTTAAATACTTGGGTCAAATTTTCCAGGCACTCTCCTCAGTCACTTGTTAACTCTATATCCTAAAACCTATGTTGGGAACAAACATTAACATCCCCTTCAAAAACACCACTGTAAAACTTTTTCAGTATGTGTGCAACGTGATTAGTAGAAATATTCTCATCCTGATAAAGGAGAAAGATAAAATACTCAAGGTACAGTAATGAAAACCACAGCAGTACTGTCACCCTCCCAAAAATATACTAGATGTTATAAAACATTGAAACTAAAATGTACAGAACTATGAAAAATATGAAGCAAAACAAATGCATAAATAAAACAAAAAAACCAGGAAGATATAACATCAACTGAAATTTAATTTAGTCTCCATGACTTCAGTTACCACATCTCATTGACACAATGATCAGTTTTTATTTGGAAGAGCTAAAATGCAAACTCCATACAGTGTTTTCAGCTGAACAGTTACAGAATACAGCAGTGCTGTCATCATCCATCTTCCTCAAAATCAGGTATTTCCCTTCTTTCTCTTTTAGTTTAAAGTGCATGTAAAACTACCCATGTCATCTGAAGCTAAGATCATTTCAGTTTGCAACTCACAGAAACACAAAGCTTGTGGCATTTTCACAAAATCTTAGTACATATCTTGATTTTCATATTTAATTACAACTTTGTTTATTAGCATGACTAAATGAGGTCAGCTACGTCTTCGCTGGTTCAATAGCTTCAGTCCTGCTAATAAATTCCACTTCAGAAAGATAAACTGTTCTTTTAGGACTTTCAAGTGGATCTTCTCTATTAATATTCTGTTCTCCTACCATGCATAGAAGGATATAATATTCATACCACTAATCAGTGCAGCACAAAGAAACCCGAAGCCAAGCACAGCTGTGTTATCAGGGGAGGGGTTTGCCCTGACACACAGCAATTCTTGTTATTGAAAGGAATCAACCCCATCAGCTGCTTGGTCTGGTTTTTACATCAAACACAAAATATTTCTGCTTCCAAAGAAGTGATCAAATTATCTGTCATCCAAAAGCAAGACCAAACTCTTGTGTTTCATAGCCATTTACCTTAAGTTATATTCGCTCTATGACACAAAGGTTCTAAGACATGAAATAAACTGTGACCCCAACCATTATGTTTACCAGTAGGTACAAACAGAGTTTGTGTAAGTAAAAATTAAACTTCTATTTGTTTATTCTTCACATTGGCTATGAAGAACACAAGGTATTTGAACTACAACAGTCTAAAGGCAAAAATGAGCACAGACACCTTAAAATCTAACAGAGAATACAAAGAGGAACACCTTGACAAACAGCTTCCTCCCCTTCCCAAACACAAAACTGAACTCCAAAAAGACATTTTGTAGTTTGGGGAGAGTGCCCCAAGGACCAGCAGACTGACCCATCCACAGCAGCACTCCCTGCCTCACTGGGACATGTTTACATAGTACACAGAACCCATTAAATCAATCTCTTAGTCCCTCTGAAGAATTACACCAGATTTTTAAAATATGTTTTCCCTTCTGCAGACAATATGGTCCTGTACCATCACATGCTCCAAGTCCCAGTCCAGCACCAAACCAGAATGGTGTGGTTGGACCATGCAGATTACAGAATGAGCAGGCTGGCAATCGTGTAACTTAGAGAACACCTTTGGGTGGATCTTTAGAAGGCTGGGAACTCACAGCCACACAGACAGAGTACATTCCAGGAGAAATAAATTCAGCAGTGGGTAAAAGGAGAGGCTGTTTCAGCACAGTCCTGCTCCCCAGATGCAGCAGAGCACCCTGTGAGGCCACTGTCGAAGGAAAGCAAGGCCAGGATGGAGCACGAATGCTGCACCTCCAGACACGTGGCCAAATAGTTGTCTCAGCAGCTACTGCAGTCCAAGGGCTGAAATAAGTGGCCTGACACAGATGACACATCCCATCAGAGAAATTTACTATATAAAAAAAGTTTATTTACTGAATAAGGACTTGAGTACACATCATCTTACACCATTAGCACCAGACCAGGAGAGAACCTGATTTGATTAACCCTTGAGGGGATCTGTCACAGAAAACCAGGGAAAATATGAATAACTTTAAGGAATTATATTATTACTCTATTAAATAAAAAAAGTCCAAAGCCCAAAAATCCAAGACTTGAGAGTATCTTTGCTTCAAGGAGCAGCCCAAAGCAAGAGAACAACTAGCAGGTGACAGAGCAATAGATTTTGACTTTGGGATGAATGTAAGGTAAGGAGGAGGAGAGGAGAAGTAAGATAGGTCAAACCCAATACTGAACTCCAGGCCTGAGTGGTGGCCAGAATAGTCTGGTCAGAACAGTCAGAAACAAATCAGTTCAAGCCAAAGACTCTCAAATTCCATGGACTGACTCAGGTATCCAACTCATTTCTGGACTGACTCCAGGATAAAATTATCACCAAGATGTTCCTATGTTTTCTTTGGTCAATACCCAAGGCCTATACTCCACCTCATCCTTGCTGTGTGTGCAGACTTTAGCATTCCAGCTCACTGCCAACTCAGCAACTTGCTCCCAAATCTGCCTTTTGCACAACTCCCCTCTCAGATTTCTTCATGATTTTCCTCAGCTCTATTCAGGTACATCCTTCAGGCTCTGTCCCCCAGCCTTCTCTAGAAGTGCCCAAACAGACTTACCCTAGCACTTAACTCTTGACCTGACTTGCATCATTAGGACTCCACACTATTACCAGTATTTCCATAAACTTCATGCCCACATTAAGCAGTCAAACACAACTGGCAACCTACTTAGAAATATCATTGACATTAATGACCCACTCATTCCTTTCAAAACAGTTCTGCTAACAGTAAAACTGTGACTTTAGCAACCCTGGGCCACAGAGTCACCCTTTTCCCTACCACTTCATTCTCTCTTAACCTCCCCCACCCCACTGCATTCATTGCTCCTGCCTGTTCCAAAACTGGGAAGGGAAAAGCTACAAGGCCTAAGCTACAGTTTGTAATTTATCAGGTCTGTGAATGAGTTGAGGGGCATCATGTGCTCTCAGGCCATCCCAGGGGCTGGGCAGCATTGCCTCAGTGCCATAACAGCCAGGAGGGATGAACCCCCTGGCTCAGGCAGTCACAGGGGCTGCTCAGGAGCTCAGCCCTTTGGCCACCCCATCCCCGGCATTTCACTGTGGGGCACAGGAAGGGCACCTGATCTCTCCCCATCCTGGCACGATCCATGAAGTTCCCTGCAGACTGTGCTGGGTGTGCAGCTTGCATTTCACATACCCACTGCAATTTCTGATGATCTGAGTCAGCACGTAAGGCCCCACGTGCAATGTGAATCATCCTGAAATTATCCACGGGCTCAGGACTGACATGGTCTTGCACTTCTTTTCAAGCTCTCTCCTGCTTGTTTCCATCCTGTTGCTGTTACCAGCTCTGTGGTTTTGCCTCCTTCTGAAACCTTGAGATCCCTTCTCTCAAACTCCCTCATTCTCCAGACTGCCACCTTATCTTGTGGTAACTCCCAGAAAATTCAATTCTTGTCCATTCCATCACCAAAGATCTATTTCTTTCTCACTAATGCACCTTACAGAGCCTCCAAATACCAAACACTTGTCATGGTACTCGAATGGGATGTGTAAATTCTTTCTAGGAAGAGCTGCACTTCTTTGTCTTGCACCACCAAGCAACTAAACTTTGTTTCACTAAGACAGAAAGTGAGATATAAGAGTCAACACCATTAAACCAATCTCATGGACAGAACACCTAAGAACAGCCAAGAGGAGAATTGCAAGACCTAAAAGAAAGAGTCCTTAAAGAAACGCTGGAGATGTGAGTAGTGGTATTAGAAGGGAAAGTCAACAGAATTACAAAGCTATTAAAGCAGAAGGAAAGACCATCTTAAGAGTAACTTAAAATTATGCCCAATTGCAGAGTTTATATAAAGAAAGCCTGAAATAGAAAACTTTATTTTATTCTGTGTACTGGGACACAGATATGGAGGCTTAAAATATACAGTGATCTACTGGATTGGAACAGATCCAGCTATTAGGTAATATTTACAACTTGATATTATCATCCATTAGTTTAAAATATTTATCAGAACATGACAGTTTTAACATACTTAAGTATGGTGTATTATTCAAGTATATTGTATTTTCCTTATTCATCTCCTATTAATGGATTGGGCATCTGTAACACTGATACAGAGACATGAACAAACTGGTCATAAATATGACTGAACACAGGACAAACACGATACACAGCATGCACAAAACAAGACAGACAAGACATTGCAACATCAGCCTGAACTCTCAGAGGTAATTCCTGTACAAGGAGAACAGGATTTTCCTCAGTCCAATATTTCACTGGACCTTAAGTGATATTTATCAGAGGCTAGACAAGAGTGTTGAAATTTTTTCAGGGAACAATAATACAGTAAATAGGGATAAACACCTTCGCCTTTTAATCCTCCCTAAATCACTTGAGCAACCCATCAATACCTTCTGTATTTTGAAACTCACATTGTATTTAATGAAAAAGTAACAACTGATTGATTTGAGCTAATGCACCAACTTACAGACCTTCCTAAACCAACGAGCTGCAAGAACACATCAGGCCAGACTTTGATGCACAGGTATTGCCAAAGCAGGCCCGTGGGCTGAGATGCCCTCATGAGTTACAGACATTGGCTCCCTGTCTGCAGTCCAACCACCTCCTTAAGAGCTACCTCA